TGTGTGTGTGTGTGTGTGTGTGTGTGTGTGTGTGTGTGTGTGTGTGTTGGTGAGAGTGGGCATAGATGGGGGACATACAATGGGAACTTCCCCATGACTTTCTTCACAGGTCACAGAAAGCTCAAGCCTTTGTGAAGGCCGAGATCTCCTCAGCTGCTCCAGCGTGGAGCCAGCACCCCTCTGAGAGATGAAGGACTCATCAGCTCCTGGGGCCCTGGAATCCTGGCCCCCTGTCGACCTGGGCCCACATCCCCCTGGGCAGACCTGTTATCTCCTTTCTTTGAAGAAATGAGGCAGGCCCTGAGAGCCTCCCCAGCCCATCCCGTACCTGAAGCTTGTCTGATCCCCAAGGCCACCACTCCCAGCCCCAGGCCACTCTGGCCCAGGGCGCGGCACTGAGACAAGACTTTATTCTGAAGTTATTAAAAAGAACAAAGTAATTCCAAGTGGATGCATGCTCAGAGGAGGGGGCGGGGACTGCTGAAGCTGCCCCTGGGTCTGGGGGAGGAGGGGAGATGAGGGGAATGTTTTGAGACACCCAGTTTTATGGGTGGGTTGGTGGAGGGAGTGGACAGGTCTAGGTGTCTGGGTGGGATGGGGGAGGGCCAGCGGGTGAGTAGACCCAGACCCACATCTGTGCGTGTACATATGGAAAAGTACTCAGAGCAGGGCTGCCCCCATGATTAGCTCCTTCCCACAATCCCCTTCCACCCCCCAGACCCCCAAGCTAGAGCAGGAGAGACCCAGGCCTGGATAGGAATCCAGGGGGCTTGGAGGATGCCAATGGTACCTCCCCACCTCCAGAGCTCCTCCATCATCTCCAGGCCCCTCCACAGGCAGCTGCCCCAGCCTCCCTCCTCACTACCACTCCCACTTCTCGAGTTATATGGCTGGCTAGGCCTTATATGGAGTGGGAAGCATCCTGCTCTTAGCCATGGATGGGGGACGTGGAGTCCCCTTGGCTGAGAAACCTCATAGATACGGAGGATCCCTTGGGTATCAGGCATCTAGCTGTCCTTGGACTTTGAGGGGAGGACCTGGGTGGGGGGAGGGGGCAGCTCCTGGATGCATAGGGACGCACTATCTTCCCCATTGCAAGTATGTCCACATGGCCAGCCCCTGCCCTTCCTATGTCCAACCATCCCAGGGTGCTTGGGCTGAGCCCTGGTCAGAGGCTGAGGAAGGAGGAAACTCTAGCCCTGCTATATGGAGATGGGGACCCAGGAATCTGGGGTAGGAGCAGGGGACAGCTCAGGCCCCACCCTAACCTGGGCTTTCCCAAAATCCAGTCTGGACACAAAGACATGGGAAGGGGAAGATGTGGGAGATAGGAATTGAAGACAGGGTAAGGCAGGGTCCCAGCCTGGCCCTCTACCCTTCCTTTTCCCCATCCCCCAGGAGACCCCAGGCTCAAAACTGGGAGGTGCTGCTGGGGTCACACTGGAGCAGCCGGACGATGGACGGGTCGCTCTTGGCTCCTCTGATGAACTCCTCCAGGGACAGCTTCCCTGGGGGGGAGGAGGGTGGTCAGCTTGGAGAACGTCCGTCATTTGGGGGGCAGTTGACGTGAGGGGAAGGCATCAGTTTGTCGGGCAAGGACGGAAGGGAGCAAGGAGGAAGGGGGAGCCTTCCTGGACAGGGCAGGGTTTGGCCAGGGCCCCAGGGAGCCCCCACTCCCACCCCCTCACCATCATTGTTTGTATCCATCTGACGGAAGATTTTCTCAGTGCGTTTCTCAGGGGTTGATTCATCCTCTGGCATCTTCATCACAGAAGACACCATCTTGTAGATAGCCTAGAGGTGAGGGGTCAGGACAAAGGAGGAAGGCTGCTTGATCAGGGAGCACTGGCCTGCTCTCCCCCAATCTCTTCCTCTGCCTTAGCATAGCCTTGCACACATATTATAGCAACTGCTTCCTAAGTATTTGAGTTGAATTGGCCTGGGCTATCGGCCTGTGTGGCCAGCAGGGGGTGCTCTGGGCCAGGATCCCTTCCCTCCACCATCTCCCTAGAACGAGAGTCCAAGATTGAGGCTGAGGGCAAGGCCTGGAATGTCTCTTACCTCGGATCATCAAAGCAGAAGGAAACTGATGTTAGTGCACTCGGGAGAAAATCCCCCCTTCCCGATTGATGCAAAATAGATGTAAATGAGCATCCGCTCTGGGAGTCCTCAGCTTGGGCAGTGTCGGGAAAGGGAAGGGGGGAGATCAGACCCAGTCAAGTAGAAATTATGCAAATGTATGCAAATACACACATCAGGTGTCAGGTGTCAGGTTGGAGAGTCAGGAACATAGGCAAGGCTGGTAAAGAGGGTTCAACAACTGGAAGATCAAGGAGGAGATATTTATACTAATTTATGTGAAATTATGCAGATGAGCACCCAGGGCAGGGCTTGGAGGTCCTCATTGAGCCAGGCTGGGAGGAGGCACCGGTTACCATTGGAGGGGGATAGCTTCCCTTACACCCCCCCCACACACACCCCCACACACCCACACCCCCCCCCCCACACACACACTGTAAGAAACAGATTCAGATTCAGATTCCCCCTGCAGTAAAAAGTGAAATAATGACCCCAAGGAACATCAGGTTCAAGGGTACAGAGCTTAAACTCATGCAGGGAAGCTTGGAATTGATCTTAGATATTAATTAATAACTAATAACTAACAACTAACATTTCTATAGCACTTACTTCATACCAGGCACTGTGCTAAGCACTTTACAATTATTATCTCTTTTGATTGCTTTGTCCAATCTCCTCATTTACAGAGGAGGAAACTGAGGCAACATGAATTAGCTGCAGAGACTAAACTAGAATCTAGGTCTCCTAATCTTTGTAATTCTTTCTCCAACACCACACTACGTATTTGAGGGATGCTATGAAATAAAGAGAACTTAGAAAGGAGCATCTCATGAGAAGAGCCTAGGAAGGTCAGGACCAACCGGTGAAGAGCCTTGAATGCCAGGATCAGGAATTGTGGCTTTGATCACAAGCCACTGAGCAGGGCAGTGAAGTGATAAAATTAGATTGAAGACAGGAAGTTCAGTTGGCACCAGGCTAGGCACCCTAAAGTGTTCAGTCCCCTCCCCTCTCACCCACCCGCTACCACTCTCTAGTCTGATTTTTTTGTTATGACCTTCCTGGATCATGGCAATAGTCTTTGGATACACCATCCCAGCTCCGCTCTCTCACCCTGACAATCCCATATTTGCATGCTGCCATGTAATATGACCAAACCAGTCTTCCTTGCATGGATATACTTACACTATTCCTCTGTTCTATAATCTTCAGTAGCTGTCTATTGCTTCCATATAGCTTGTCTCCCATGTCTGTAATGTGCTCCCTTCTTACCTCTACCTCTTAGGATCCTTGGCTCTGCTTAGGGTTCAGGTCAGGTGTCATGACTCCTCACCCCCACCCACTGCTACTAGTGATTTCTCCCTCCTCAAATGAGCTTATATTTATGTTGTTGTTTAGCCTTTCACAGTTACGTCCAACTCTTTATGACCTCATTTGGGGTTTTCTTGGCAAAGACACTGGAGTCGTTTGCCATTTATTTCTCTAACTCATTTTGCAGATGAGGAAACTGAGGCAAATGGGGTGAAGTGACTTGCCCAGGGTCACACAGCTAGTCCGTGTCTGAGGCCGAATTTTAGTGAAGATGAGTCTTCCTGATTCCAAGCCCAGTGCTCTATCCACCTCATCACATTTTATATCCCCCTATAAAATGTAAGCTATTTGAAGACAATTTTCATTTTTGCTTTTATATCCATAGGGCCTTACACATATTAGGTACTTAAATGTTGAATTGCTTAATATAGTTCAGGCACTTGTGGCTGGCATTCAAGGCCTTTCCAATTTGATATCACCCTGCCTTTCCAACCTTATCTCATATTACTCCTCACACTCAAACTATGCTCCAAGAAAACTGAATTGACTCTCTGCACCTTCCTGCCCCGATATAAAGAACTTCTCCACTTTGGTGCCTCACCTACCCAGTTTTCTAAGCCTGTAATCGTTTCCCTCCTCCTCTTCACCATCCTTGAAATCCCATTTCAAATACCACCTCCTCCAGGAAGCCCTGTCTGAATCCCCTGTTGGTAATAGCCTTGCCTACCAACCCTCACACAGCACTTTGTATTTCTCCAGGGCACATTTGTCATGTTGCATCTATACAATAGATACAATATATAATAATATATACAATATACAACAGAGTGGTCTATTTGTGTCATGTCCCCCTACTACAGACATTTTACAGTTTTCTCTATATTCTGTACCTCCCCCAGGCCCCAGGGATGCCCTGAACACAGAAGATGGTTATTAAATGTTGACTGAGGGAATGAATGAATGAATGAATGAATGGATTGATTCTACCCTGCCAGGGCTGGTGGGAGGCCAAGGGGATGAGAGGAATGACTGCACAGTACCTGGACAATCTCCAGCATCTCTTCCCGGCTGATGTAGCCATTGCCATCCAGGTCATACATGCTGAAAGCCCACATGAGCTTCTGCTCCAGTTTCCCTCGAGAGGTGACACTCAGAGCGATGATGAACTCCCGAAAGTCGATGGTGCCATCCCCATTGGTGTCAAAGGTGCGGAAGACGTGCTCAGCAAACTTGGAGGCATCTCCGTAGGGAAAGAAATTGGCGTAGATCTTCTTGAACTCCTCCACGTTGAGGATGCCGGTGGGGCAGTCTTTCAGGAAACCTTTGTACCACTCCTGCAGCTCCAGGTCGGAGAACTCCGTGTTTTCTCTTAGGTCCTGTAGCATCTCTGGGCGCAGTTTGCTGTTCTGCTTTCCCATGACAGCGGCAGTGGGACTCCAGAACCCCTGCTCGCATTCCACAGGAAGAGAAGGAAAGAGAGAGACATGGAAGGACAGAGAGACAATGATGGGGGGAAAGTGACAGAGGCAGTGCCAGAGACAATGTTGAAGACAAAAGAGATGCAGACAATAGGAGTCATATCAACAGGGAGCCAATGAGGTGGCCAGGGACAAAGGAAGTGGATAGGGGTAGAGGGATGCAGGGAGGTACAGAGAAATAACAAGAGGGAATCAGAGAGGCAGACAAGGAGAGACATGCAGAGAGACGGAGAGCAATAGAGACGAGAGGATTGAGTGAAGCACAGAGAAAAGTGATGGGGAGCCAGAGAGAAAGAGACAGAAACAGACAGATAGTGATAGACAGGAGGATGGGAAAAGGCTCAGATAAGTTGTAATGGGGAGCCAGAGAGACAGAAACAGAGAGAGACAAGGAGAGAGGGATGGAGAGACAGTGATAGATGGGGGATCAAGAAATAGTGGTGAGGAGTCAGAGGGATGGATAGGAACAGGAATGGAGAGAGGGATGGAGACACAGATAGACAGAGCAATACAGGGATCGAGGAAAAGAGAGAAAGCAGAGATGAACAGTTACAAGTATGAAGGGAAAAATGGAAAGGGATGGGGGTGGGAGCGAGGAAAGGAAAGGCAACCAGAAGGAAGATTGGAGAGGACTGAGAGCCCGCTCTCCTTCAGATTCCATTACCCTCTTGACCTGAGATCCTTAAGCTTCCTTCAAGAACAGGCTCAGAAGGGAAATTCTTCAGTGAGAACAGGATGGACCTAGAAATGTCAGGGCTTGCTCACCCTACCCCATTCTGCTGTTTCCCTCTGCACTTTGCATGACCTAACTCGTACCCAAGCACACCTAAGACCACTATCACATTACTCATGCACACGACATTGCAAAATTCTCAGATGAGAGTGCTAGATAGTGCTAACTATGTAGCCCCACCTTGTTATTTTACAGATGAAGAAACTGGAGGGGAAGTGACTTGGCCAAGGTCACACAGCAAATCAGTGGGCTGGGACCCACACCCAGGCCTCCTGATTACCAGGCCAGGACTTTCTCTCCTGCTCCCTCTACCATTCTTCAGAAAGTTGACACACACTTGTGCATGCATAACCATATGCCTAGACGTTGGCCCCTACACCCCTCCTGTGCCCCCTTCATACACTGGGAACATTGTGGGTGATAGGGCAGCAGCCCTTTGTCATTCCCTTCCTGTTGCCCCATGTTGAGGAAGATCCTGTGCCCCCCCTTTCTTTACCTTTCATAAGATCTAGAAGAGCCCCACTTCACAGGAAGAAAGAGAAGAGATGGGACAGGGGGGGAAAGGGCATCCTGGAAATGGCTGACCAGTCTGGGGGTGTGTATATGTGTTTATATGTGAGAGAGACGAGGGACAGAGAGAGAATGGGCAGCAGTGTCTGTGAGTCCATGTAATTGCATTGTGTTCATGTACAGATTTGTGCGTGCATGTAATTGTATGTATACCAACATATTGGTTGCATACACGTGGAATGATATATTTGCATATGCACGTGGAATGAGATGTGCTTGCAAAATGCATTATATTCTTATACCTAAATGTCTGTAGGCATGCAAATACATGAGTGCATGTGTGTGCATAAATCTGTGACCATGCATGTTATCTATGTATGCATGCATCTGCATCTATGTCCATGCATGTGTATATATATTCAGACAGCCATATGCCCGCAAATATGTATATGTATATGTATATGTGTACCTTTCCCTCTTGTATCAGTCCTCCTTATCCTAAGAACCCTGATATGCCACCTTCCTCCCCAAATCTTGAGTCTTTGGGCTGGGGACCCAGGCCAGTGATATGCCCCCCAACTGTGGTGGGGGGGAGTCAGTTAGGGAAGAAGACCCCAATCATTGGCTTTTCTTGCACCAAAGAAGCCAGGCCTGCAGTATGGAGAGTACTTGGCTCCTCCATTAAGGAGCTCTGGGAAGAAACAAGAATAGGGCAAGGTCTGTCTTCTCAGGCCTTAGATCACTGGAAGGAGGGAGGGTGGCACACCAGGACAGGACTTTCTCCTGTCTGCAGCCTTCCAAAGTGACTTCAACCCCACCCCCCTCAAAGGGAGAAGGGGACCAAAAAGAAGGAGATAGAGCCAGCAGTCCCAAAGATCCTTCCTCCACCCCTCAAGAAGCAGAGAAGCATCCTGGTTTCCCCTCTCCAGAGAAGTGCCAGAGCCCCCCTCCTCTGCCCACACCCAGTACCCACACAACTGGAAACCCATCTCCAGAACTCCCAGTCTGGCCTGAAAGGACTGCCATAGACCATTCCCGGGCTCCAAACCTTGAACCCAAGTTCCTCTGGGTACGCCGGAGGCTCCTGGTCCATCCGTTCCTCTCCCTTCCCTGGCCCCATTCCATTGTCCCATCTTCCGACCTCTCCAGTCCCCCTTCAAAACCCCAAAGCCCCCTGACTCTGAATTCCCCCCAATAGCCGATAATACCCACATTGTCCCACCCTGGTTCTGGGACACTCTCTCAGCCCCAGGATTCCTATCCTTGCTCTGGATACTCCTACCCATATTTCCCCGCTCACTCTGGACACCCCCCACCACAATTGCAGTGGGGCTCCAGCTCTGGTTCCCAAGGCAGAGGAGGCAGTGGAGAAATGGGGATCCCCGGGCCAAGCAGCGAATCCGGCTTTTAGAGAAGAGGGGGCGGGGGTCCCACGAGCAGCTCCCCCATTCCGCTCCCCTGGGCATCCTCCCCCACCCTCTGGAGCCCCCAGCCCCTCCCAGGGGCGCAGCCCCCACTCACCCCGCTCCAAGAAGACACTGACTACGCAGGGAAGCCGAGGCGCTGCAACGGGGAAGGCGGCTGAGGGCGGCCGGAGGGGCGGGGGGAGGCCCAGGAGGAGGGGGATGCTGGAAGGCAGGAGGGGGGGCTGGAAGGCGGGAGGGAGACGCCCCACAGGCAGTCCTACCACCTCCCTCCTCCCCAGGCCCAGCCGTGGAACCCCCCCCTCTCTCCAGGGACTCCCCAATGCCCCCTGCCCGGACGGACGCTGACTGCGGGATGTGGACCTCGCCTCACTCACGCGCCCCCATTTGGGAGGGGGTGGCACTTAGCACCAAGCTGGACCCCAACCCCTCTCCCCAAAGCAATGTCGGTCCCCTGCTCCTTCCTCACACCAGTCCTCAGACCCCAATCTCCCAGAGAGGGGCGCCCTCCCTAAAGCTGGGGGAAGGGTCCCCGGGCTTCTCCCCTCCTCCCCACCTGCTCCGGAGCCCAGGTCTCTGCCCCGCGAGGCACCTCAGATTCCTCCGAGGAGGCTGCAGGCGCCTCCCCGTGCACCGCCTCCCCCCCCCCGCCCCCAGATACCCCTCCCTAGGCCTGGATCCCCCTGAGCTGAGTGGAGCCAGGCAGAGGGGCTGGGGGCTCGCTGCTGGGAGACTTGGTACCTGGTGAGGTAGGCGCGGCTAGGGAATCCAAGGGAACCCCCTCCCCACTCGCACTCCCGCCTCGTGGGTCGACTTGGCCCGCAGCCACGCCCCCTCCCCTGCCCCGCCCCCCGGGACACCCCTCCTGGAAGCCCTGGCCTGAGGGTCCCCAAAGGTGCACTCCACAGACAGCAAGGCAGGGAGAGGGGCGCCCGGGGGGGGGGGGCCAGGTTACCAGGGCAAGTGAGGACAGGAACCGCCCCCTCCCCACACACCCACGCGCCGGCGCAAAGCAGGAGCTGCTGCGGGAGGCTTGCGGGGTGGAGGGGCGGAGGGGACAGGAGAATTGTGTAGCGGCTCAGCTGAGGCCAGCGGGTCTCTGGGCGGCACTGAAAGTGAGGGAGGGAGCTCCATGACATTGGCCCCCAACCTGTACCCCGCTCCGCCTCCAGGTTGTAGAGGGGATGGACCCAGGCAATGGCAAGGCAGAAGAATTCCGGTCCATTCCCCTGTCTCCAGGCAGAACAGCATCTACCTGGCTCCCAGGTAGAGCCCATAGAACCAGAACCCCGTAGAGCAAGTTCTTGGCCTAAAGGTAGAAGGCCTAAGTTCAAGTCTAGCCTCTCTTACTTCTTCCCAGAGTCACTTTGGACCGGTCACTTTCTGTCAAAAATTTCCTCATCTGTAAAATGTGTATAATAATTGGTAACACAGGAGTGGAAAGAGCTCAAGGTTTGGAATTGAGACACCTGGTTTCAAATGCTGGTTTTGACCTGTTTGACCTTGGGCAAGTCATTGTCCTTCTCTGGACCTCCTGAGTTCTATCTGCCTTAGGGAGTTGTGGTGAGGATGATTTAAAGTTTGCAAAGTGCAACAAACCTCTGATACTGGTAGTGCGAATAATAATATCGCCATTCTATAGAAGAGAAAACTGAGGTTTAGAGAAGGGGAATAGCTTACCTGATGTCACAGAGTACGTGAGAGCCCTAATGAACTGAGATTAAATAGTTTTAAAATCCCAAGGCACTATACAAATGTGAACTATTACTGCTATGATCTGATTAGAGGTCCTCTAATAACCTCTTCCTTTTGGGGAAGGGAAAGGAACATGTATTTCTCAAGCAGCTACTATGTGCCAGGCACTGTGCTCTTTGTTGTTGTTTAGTTGTGTCTGACTCTCCATGACCCCATTTGGGGTTTTCTTGGCAGAGATACTGCAGTGGTTTGCCATTTTCTTCTCCAGCTCATTTTACAGATGAGGAAACTGAGGCAAACAGGATGAAGTGACTTGCCCAAACAGCCAGTAAGGGTTAGAGGTCAGATTTGAACTCAGGTCCTCCTGACTCAAGGCCTGGGGCTCTAGCGGCCACCTAGCTGCCCTAAAGTGCTTTACAAATATCATCTCATTTGATCCTCACAACAACCCTGGGAGGTATGTGCAGTTATTATCCCCATTTTACAGTTGAGGAAACTGAGGCAGACAGCGGTTAAGTGACTTGTCCAATGTCACCCAGCTAGTAAGTGTCAGGGAGTCCAGAGAGGGAAACATATTTTCCCATCATCCCCTCTCCTGAGAATCCTACCCCTACCTTGCTCTGGAAAGATTCTCTATTCCCCAAAAGCAATAGGATTCCATACTGGATCAGAAGTCAGAGGGACTGGATTCAAATCTAGACTCTGCCACTGTGTGATCTCAGTTTCCTCATCTGTAAAATGGAAGGGCGGGAAGGGAACTTCTAGGGCCCCTTCCAGCTCTAAAGCTATGTT